AATCTTTCACATGCAAGTAGCGAGTACAGTAAAGAATTTTAACGTTGAAATGATAAAATAAGCTAGCGCGAAGCAGTAGAGAAGATACATTAACGTTGTAAGGACACAGGACGTGAATCTACATCACCAATATGCAAAGTGTAAAAATTGTCAACCTTCTTGCCTCGCACTTCCCAGTAAAGAAAAAAAAGCTGCCGAGTGAAAGGGTTAAACTAAACTACATCATTACGTTCCAAAGAGAAAAGGAGGAGAGGAAAGGAGAGAGCGAGAGAGAGAGGTACGCATCAAAGCATTCCAAAGAAAGGATACTTATAGATATCGATGAAAGGTATTATCATAAACACGTGAGAAACCTAAATTGACTTCCAGATCGCGGCAGCGATCCCCCCCGAGGGAGAGATAATTAGTCACGGCCCCGTGGCTCCCGCATACGCCGTAATTATTTTTATAATCAGCTGTCGTCGCGCTTTCCCGGTAATCTATTTGCATCGAGCGCGCATGCCCGCGTGTTCGCGGGTAATTATTGCGGGAAAATTTAAAGGGACGCGGCAACAAAGAAACTCGCAGGAGTCTCGCGCACGGGACATGTAATATACATAATTAAAGGAGGGGCTGGTAATTGCCAAGCCAATTATACGTTGTGCGCGAGATATTAATTTGGCGTGGCCATTAATTTGCTGACCGACATCACGGGAAAATCTATTGCGCACACGAAAGTCGTATCGGTGACCCGCGCTGCGTGGTAATCGACCTGCGGCAAAAAATCGCTCGATGGCCTGATAATTATTGGTAACAACGTAGGATGTGGTTCGTTAAATCGCGGCATGAAATCTCTTTCTAGAATTTCCTTCTGGTTACAGTGAATCGTATAATGGTGCTCGCCATAAATCATCTATCCACGCTTGTACATTTATATCAGGATTCGACTTGTGTTCTATCTGTTTCTCATGTTAGGATTTAATAATTAAATAATTTAATCTAGATTAATAAAAATTAGAAATGTTAACAATATAATTCCTAAAGAGGCCCTTAAAATTAACAAAATCCAATTATGTGATGTAAATGAGTTTTTTTCGGCCGTTGCTAGTTGTTTGTTTGCTTATGTTGATTTATTTATTTAAATTAACAAACGTTTCGCGCGGTCACGTGATCACTCTCTTCAAATAGAAATTATTTTGTTGTTAGCATCTTAATCAGTGTTCTCATATTAATAATGCTCGTTCTAATAAGTTTTTTGCATGATTGTTAAATTAATGTAAGCAGGTGTAACAGAATAAAAAATTGAACGCGTCTCTATTATAAATACATTATTTATCTTTTCTATATATTCAAAAAAATATTAACAGCTACTCACATTTTTATAATTTATCTATACATTTTTACATTATGTCATGCATTTATTATACATAATTTTCACTACAGTTGTTCAATTTTCATTAATTTTGTTTAGCTTGAATATTAAAATAAAAAACGTTTTTATCAATTTCCAATTTTATCA